ATACTGAATAATTAATTAACAGAAGTTAGCAGAAGATAAACCTGGTTCATGTCCGTTGACAAGATCAAAATACTGAATAATTAATTAACAGAAGTTAGCAGAAGATAAACCTGGTTCATGTCCGTTGACAAGATCAAAATACTGAATAATTAATTAACACAAGTTAGCAGAAGATAAACCTGGTTCATGTCCGTTGACAAGATCAAAATACTGAATAATTAATTAACAGAAGTTAGCAGAAGATAAACCTGATTCATGTCCGTTGACAAGGTCAAAATAGTGAATAATTAATTAACAGAAGTTAGCAGAAGATAAACCTGATTCATGTCCGTTGACAAGATCAAAATACTGAATAATTAATTAACAGAAGTTAGCAGAAGATAAACCTGGTTCATTTCCGTTGACAAGGTCAAAATAGTGAATAATTAATTAACAGAAGTTAGCAGAAGATAAACCTGGTTCATGTCCGTTGACAAGATCAAAATACTGAATAATTAAAACATAGAAGTTAGCAAAGCTACACGAGGGCTATCTGCGCTAGCGGTCCCTAATTTAGCAGTGAAAGACTAGAGGGAAGGCAGCTAGTCATCACCACCCACTGCCAACTCTTGGGCTACTCTTTTACCAACGAATAGTGGGATTGATCGTAACATTATAACGTTTGCGAGCATGTTTGGTGGGACGAGCGCCCTAACCACCTGGCCATGCCGGGCCCGGCCTCTTTTCTTCCATTTATTTTCTAAACATAAAATCTTTTATGATAGACCATTTTCCGAAGTCATCTTATAGGTTTGTGAAATAAATATTAGTGTTAAAGACTAACGCTAATCATAAGGCATGTCTATATTTCTTTGAAAGGTTTAAAAATTCATTTAACTTAACATTAAGTGACCAGAAGTAGCCAATTGTGATAATCACTATACAGATTGTACTCCCTGAAAATCTCTAGGTTAATTTTTTCATTGTATATTGCTTTATTTTAAGATATTTATATCAAATAATTGTGCATTGAAAGATTACCAGTGTCTAGGAAACCATTGATTATTACACTGATAGTAACTTTCTTTATCTAGGTGTTCTAGTTGTAGTTATTTATCTAGGTGTTCTAGTTGTAGTTATTTATCTAGGTGTTCTAGTTGTAGTTATTTATCTAGGTGTTCTAGTTGTCGTTATTTGTCTAAGTGTTTTAGTTGTAGTTATTTATCTAGGTGTTCTAGTTGTCGTTATTTATCTAAGTGTTTTAGTTGTAGTTATTTATCTAGGTGTTCTAGTTGTCGTTATTTATCTAAGTGTTTTAGTTGTAGTTTGTTATGTAAGTGTTTTAGTTGTAGTTCTTTATCTAATGTTTTTTTGTCGTTATTTATCTAGGTGTTGTAGTTGTGGTTATTTATCTAGGTGTTCTAGTTGTCGTTATTTATCTAGGTGTTCTAGTTGTCGTTATTTATCTAGGTGTTCTAGTTGTCGTTATTTATCTAGGTGTTCTAGTTGTCTCAGATAAAGAACTACAACTAAAACACCTAGATAAATAACTACAACTAAAACACTTAGATAAATAACTACAACTAAAACATCTAGATAAATAACTACAACTAAAACACTTAGATAAAGAACTACAACTAAAACATCTAGATAAATAACTACAACTAAAACACTTAGATAAAGAACTACAACTAAAACACTTAGATAAAGAACTACAACTAAAACACTTAGATAAAGAACTACAACTAACACACTTAGATAAATAATCACAACTAAAACACTTAGATAAAGAACTACAACTAAAACACTTAGATAAAGAACTACAACTAAAACACTTAGATAAATAACCACAACTAAAACACTTAGATAAAGAACTACAGCTAAAACACTTAGATAAAGAACTACAACTAAAACACTTACATAAAAACTAAAGCACCTAGATAAATAACGACAACTAGAACACCTCGCTAAATAACCTGTTTTAGTTGTGGTTATTTATCTAAGTGTTTTAGTTGTAGTTCTTTATCTAAGTGCTTTAGTTGTAGTTCTTTATCCAGGTGTTTTAGTTGTAGTTCTTTATCTAAGTGTTTTAGTTGTAGTTCTTTATCTAGGTGTTTTAGTTGTAGTTCTTTATCCAGGTGTTTTAGTTGTAGTTCTTTATCTAAGTGTTTAGTTGTAGTTCTTTATCTAAGTGCTTTAGTTGTAGTTCTTGATCTAAGTGCTTTAGTTGTAGTTCTTTATCCAGGTGTCTTAGTTGTAGTTCTTTATCTAAGTGTTTTAGTTGTAGTTCTTTATCTAGGTGTTTTAGTTGTAGTTCTTTATCTAAGTGTTTTAGTTGTAGTTCTTTATCTAGGTGTTTTAGTTGTAGTTCTTTATCTAGGTGTTTTAGTTGTAGTTCTTTATCTAGGTGTTTTAGTTGTAGTTCTTTATCCAGGTATTCTAGTTATACATTTTTACAGATTTCCCAGTTATAATTATTTTGTTTGTGCGTGTCCTTTTCTAGATGCTCTTGTTGTGGTTCGTTATTTAAGTGTTCTACTTGTTTAATTGTAATTCTTAGTCGAGATGTTCCAGTAGTAATTCCTTCTCCAGTTGTTACAGTAGTAATTCGTTTGCTAGTTGTTACACCTGTAATATATTTAATAGGTGTTCCACTAGAAATTCTACTTTGTGGTGTTTCACACAAGTATTTTTTTAATGTATTATAGCTGTGATTAAAGTGTTCCAGATGTTGATTTTTAGCTGTTGCAGTTCTCGATATGAGCAAACTGCAGATTAGCAGAGAATGGTTCCCGAAACAATTACTTTGACTTCATAATATTATATTTTAAACATCGTTATTATTCTCTTTATTCTTACCCCCACAAGCAATTGAAAAAAAAGCTATAATAGAATAAACAAACTAGTTGTTGAAAGTTTCAATCGTCGACTTTATTTTCTCACGCTATAATCAGCCGATCTATTAATAATAGAATAACTGAACCAGTTCCTGGAGGTTTGTATGTTCTTTTATCTCACCATTTATTAATCTGAACTATTTTCAGTATGTGATTAATACTGTGGCATTAGGCCAAATCTATTATTAGGTATTATACAGCGGACCAATGATGATGATGATGATATAACAGTATTGTAATATCGTCATCAAATGAACCAATTATTAGCAACATCAAGAGCCAACTATCTCCTGTTCACTTTAAGAAGTTCTTATGGTAAAAAAAAATGAATGAACCAATTGTTAACAATATTAAAAGTAGTTTCTTTTGCGCATTATAAGAAATTGCTATAGT